GTGTGTGTGTGTGTGTGTGTGTGTTTATTAATTCATTCATTTATTCATTTATTCGTTTATTTAGAGACAGACATACAGACAGACAAACATAGTGTGTGTGTGTGTGTCTGTGTGTGAGCAAGAGAGAGAGAGAGAGAGAGAGAGAGAGAGAGAGAAGAGAGAGAGAGAGAGAGAGAAGAGAGAAGAGAGAGAGAGAGAGAGAGAGAGAGAGAGGGTGGGAGGGAGGGAGGGAGGGAGAGAGGGAGGGAGGGAGGGAGGGAGGGAGAGAGAGAGAGAGAGAGAGAGAGAGAGAGAGAGAGAGAGAGAGAAGAGAAGAGAGAGAGAGAGAGAAGAAGAGAGAGAGAGAGAGAGAGAGAGAGAGGACAGACAGATACAGAGAGACAGTGAGAGACAGAGACAGACAGACATAGACGGATAGACAGACAGCAACAAGAGCAGAGAGGGGACAGAACAAGAGAGAAACAGAGGAATAAGAGAGAATGAGAGAGTGAGAAAAAGACAGAGAAGAAAGGGATGAATATAGAAAGAAACAGAGAAAGAGGGATGTATATATATATTATATATATATATATATATATAATATATATATATATATATATATATATAATATTATATATTATATATACATCTAAAATACACACACACAGTAGTGTATATGAAAAGACATTCATTTGGAGACAGAATTGCAATTGATGTCGACACCAAAAAAATGACTATTTAACTAAAAACTCTCTCATTACCACAAATTGCATCATGAAAAGAATAAATTGCTTTCATGAAGCTGACAAACCTCATCTATAACAAGAATAATAAAAAAAAAAACATTTATATAATGATCGACATAAATAGACTTTTTTATACGGTCCCGTTAATGCCTCTTTGATACAAGTGGACTGAACGGAAACATTTCCAATTAATCTTTATGATTACTCCAAAGATATTAGGGGTTAGAGTGCAATACTATTCGTCCCGTAAAACTAAAATGATGAACTGATATGAGGTGTAATTATCCTTAGAGTGTATTTCTTTTACATGTTCGTTTTCTTTGTTTTCTTCTAACGTTGGCAAAGGCAAAGAAAAATGTCTGTTTTGCCCGTGTGAAGTGATAATATATGTTGTGTTTGTATAATTTTCCATAGGCATATGTACTTGAATAATTAATTGAGTATGAATACATGTGTCCGTGTCCGTGTCCGTGTGTGTGTGTGTGTGTGGTGTGTGTGTGTGTGTGTGTGTGTGTGTGTGTGTGTGTGTGTGTGTGTGTGTGTGTGTGTGTGTGGTGTGTGTGTTGTGTGTGTGTGTGTTTGCGTGTGTTTTTGCATGTATGCGTTTGGTACTTGTGTGTGTGTGCGTGATGTATATATTCTTCGGAACCAACAAAGATCTCTCTTCGAAAAAAAAATGTAGAAAGGAAGTTTCCTGGAATTTAGGGAAAATAAGATTTCCCAATTCTTTATTGTCGTGCCGCGCGTGATCGCTTAAACCACTGCGAAAGAATGAAGTTAGAATCCATCATCGGTTTTGAGAAAAAAGCATACGGGCACATTCCTTAAAAACATACAAATATATATAAAAATAAATGCAAACACACGTATCTATCTTGCAATGTATATGTGTCAATAACAGGCAAATATCACGCACAAAGTGCCTGAAACCAAATGCTTTGTTGTAATAAGCAACTGTTTGTCCTCGTGAGAGTACTTAAGTTCAGTTAATATTGGATTCGTAACTACATAATCTTTAAAACTGAAAAACAATCATATTTACGTGTAATAGAACGTTTGGTGTATATAAACACATTTACGTAATTTAGTTTTGTTCAAACAGAATTCATGTTTGATGAACAGCCATAATGGTAATAATTCCTCGCGCTTCCTCTCGAAATTTATAATGTTTATAAACTATTCGATCTCACATAACGTAAGTGTTTTCGCCTATAACATAGGACTGAATCATATCAAATCAGAAATAATCATAGTCAAACGATGTGTATGTATATTTTTATATAATATGGCTAAAAGCGGCATTGTCAAAGCTGAAGTATATATCAATTCAGTATTAGTATCAATATGGAAGTTTGTATTTCCAAGGTATTCATGGCATCCGTTGGTGTTTTGATTGAGAAGTGTGGGTAGTGAGAGAGAGAGTTCTTAATTCATTGTAACTTTTAAGCTGTTGATTTAAACACATGGCCACTGAAAGCAAGGGAGCAACTTATGCATACAGTTGGGTACATACATACGCACACATACATACATATACATACATGTGTGCATAAACATATGCATATATACACGTATATGTATATACATATATACATATAAGTGTAGGTGTGTATCTGTGTTTGGGTGGGTGGGTGGTTGTGTGGATGTATGTTTATAAGAGTATACAGTATATATGAATAGTATAGTTCATTATGACAAATGTAGGAAAATGTATGGAAGAGACTGAATAACTTCATAGAGTAAGATATAATTGACGAGTATTTCTGATGATGATT